GACGAATATCAGATGTAATAATAAATTTTTATTAAAAAAAAAATTAGTTCATGGATTCTGTGTGGGCAATTCTGGTCACATTACGAATTGAAAAAGGTATGAAATATATCTATCGTTCGTGTTTTTAATACTATTACTCAAATTTGTCTCATGATCAATTAACTCAATAACGATGTAGCAAAAATTGAGATAGGATTCACAAAAACCAATTATTTGAATAATTATTCGATGCCATACTCGCATTCGTTACTCGCAGCCATAACATGGAGTATAACACTTGCGATATGGTATAGGTGGTTCTACGGAGGTGGAAATAAGGCAGCCCTTTTAGTTGGGCTTGTTGTCTTTTCACATTGGATTGAAGATCTTATAGTCCATAAGAAAGGTCTAAAGAGAGAAATTTTTTATTTAATTTCTGATTTATGTCTTTTAATGTTATATTTTATCATTTACAGATCTTTTACTATTAACTTTCGATGATACGAAAAAGAAATATGGTTATGGCCTGTGGGATCATTTCTACACCGCACTCTTTCTGGAACTTTCTTTTTTCATTAGTGGGTTCTATTACTATACAATCAATACACGTGTCGACCCGACAAAAGCAAAAACCCATAGTTTTTGGGTAACAGAAAAAGCACCGATTGTTGTTCTTTGCGTTATGATATTGGATCATCTACTGAGTGTACTCCACTCAGACGGTGCGAATATGTTGCGGCTTACAGTGCTGTTCATGACTTTAATGTGGCTGCAGATTTATTGGTTATTTAGAAAGTTGGATGCAGCTAGAATTCCCGCACTAAAGATATGATTAATCTTTATTCTTAAATCGTTAAATCGCAAGGTGGTCTTCTAGATAGAAAATTAAACAACATTCATGTTTATCATACCAATCTTTTAGAAATTTATTTACACATGATATTAGAGTTAGTAAGATCCAATAGCAAATGTACCTCAATCCTTGAAGTGTTGGAACTCAAACGAATGGATATTACTTTTTTTTGGTGACAGTAAGAGTAAGCCTCACAAATAATACAGTCAAACCTCAATAAATTTGAAAATTCTGCTTATTGAGGTTCTAATTAATTGTTTAGTTTAACTTGTGCGTATGACGAAAGTCAAATGGCGGAGAATTATGAAATAGCAACTAGATCATCATATATATATATATATATAGTAGATTAATATTCGTTGTCCTTGTTGAGGACATCAAGGTATAGAACGAACCGGAATCGTACATATGGCGTTGAAGTGGACGAAAAGTTTTGAATATGTTCTTCTGAAGAAAGTGGCAACGCTATAGCCTTTATTACATTCTTTGAAAGCTTTGTCGTATTCTTTGTGTGGAACGACTCGATTCATTGCCCAATCACACCTCCTGAATATGATGTCTCCCAACATTTCATCGAGATCTAGTCAAGTGGTGGTCACAGCCGTCTTTTTCTGCGTGAACGACAGTTTTTCACTTTTTCTATGCTTATTCTGAAAAACGTGTTTCAGGACATATATCGCGCGCGAGCTTCTCGTAATCATATTTGAGCCGTCGTTGCATTTTATTTCATACATCAGAACTCTTGGGTTGTTCGAGAACACATGCTTTGTGTCACTTAAAATTTTTTTTAATACGGGTTAATTGGATTCAGAGAATCTCTACTTTTTATTTAATTTGAGCTTTGTATTTCTAAAATGTCTGCAAGAAGAACGTCAATAGTAGTAGTATGTATACCATAGTTTAAATAAATGGAGGGAAGGAAAACCTGTTGCAACGCTGTGCATTCAGTTCAGTTTTGCAGACGATGCAAAAATTAGCATTTATTAAATTTTTTAATTATAGCAAAAGAACGCGCCAAAACATAAAAAAGTGACAAGAAAGTTTGTGATTGACGCATCAGCTCCCGCACAGGATAAAATTTTTGATGCACAAGCATTCGTGAGTACTAAAACTAAATGATATATATGATACTTTGAATTGAAATATTGAATGATTGACCTGATGTTATTACATCATTCTGATCTAAACTGATGCAAGGAAAAATTCTTGCGTGATAACATAAAAGTCAACGGTCGTACTGGACAACTTGGTGACGCTGTCACAATCAACAGAGACGCAGCTGATCATAAATTAACTGTGACGACAAACACCCAGCAGTTCGCGAAACGTTATTTAAAGTATCTGACGAAAAAGTTTATGAAAAAGAATTCAATTCGAGATTGGCTTCGTGTAGTTGCTGTTGATCGAGTAAGCGCTTTTCTTGTTTATTTGAATGGATAGATGGAAAATATTCATCTTTTTAATTTGTGATTTTTTCCCCAAATAGACAACTTATCAGATAAGATACTTTAATATTAGCAATCAGGAAGAAGATGATGACGAAGAATGATCCAAGCTATAAATTAAATGTTTTGTGTTGTTCCGTGGAATTTATATTTTTAGTATTGCCAAAACAGTTTTGGATCGAGCCAATAAAATTATAGAATCTTTCAAGTTAACTATTAATAAATTATCGTTT